GTCTAGAATAACGAAAATATTCAGCAGGCTGAGTTTTTCTCTCGGTCACCATCTCACCTAGGCTGTCTAAGTCGATGAATCCATTGCCAGTGAGATCCAGTTCTTGCAACTTTGACATGTCTTTGAAATTGAATACTGCACCAACACAATTATAATTCTTAAGTTAAAAAAATAAGTTTCCTTCCTTAAGAGGCTAGTCTGTTCCTACAAGTATAATTTACTCATCCTTGAATAGATTGAGTGTGGTTTAATATAGTCAACATCAATCTCAAGACTTTTAAATCCACAAGATGTTAAACTCATGCTTCTCAACTTACCGTCAAGTCGGGCTGCCTCTGCGAGACTGTTGAAACTAAGATCTAATGTTTTTAGTTTCATCCTTTTTAACCCTGCACCAACAGATTATGGTATCATCAGCCATGTTATAAGCTAACAAGTATATCTTCCCTCTTTTGGTTATATTCTTCTCACCATCACCAGCCTCGAAGTCGTTTATACGATTGTAACTTAAATCCAATACTTCCAACTCCATGAGATTGATTAAACCTGCACATCAATGCATCCCTTAGTCACCTCTTTGTTTGTTGTCTTTATATTTTGTTTGGAAAAACAATACTGTATTATCAGGCTTCTTAACACATTATTTACCTTGAATGGAAATAGAGCTGAATCTACTCCTGTGCAAATTCAACACTCTTAACTCTGTTGTGTTTGCAAGTTCTGCCACACCAAAACCAAGAAAGCTTTCCAAGACATTCAAAACTGACAGTGACAGTTTCTGTAGACTACTTAAAAATCATATTCAAAATACAAAATTGGGGAGTCAAAGAGATTCTTTGATTACCATTCCAAGGAAAGACACCTTTCAGTTCATTGCCACTAAGATTTAGATTCATGAGCGACCTTGATGCACTTAGAAAAGGGAAAACACTGTTGTTGAGATTATTTATGGACAAATCAAGGGTCCCTAGATTCTCCAGTCTCTGAAAGCTCTTATAACCTGAAAACATAATGAACGTTGAAGAAAATCAGAGATAAACTAAAAACCATTACGGTGGATTCCTCCTCGAAAAGTGGTAGGGACGTACCATGGATGGGATCAAACAAGTGACTGATCCCATTCACTGAAAAGTCAAAGGTTTTGAGTTGAGGGAAGCTATGAAGCAAACACAGATTTAAAGACAGAGGCGCATCCCCACGCAAATATTTGAGGGGCAAGATATACTTCAATGAGAGATCAACGACTTGGCCAACAATAGTATCACTGCATTTTACTCTTTCCCAAAGGCAGCAGTCACTCTTTGGATCATCATCACTCCATGACTTGAGAATATTTTCTTCTTGGGGACTAGGAATAAGAGAGTTGAGATTCGACTTGAGCTGCAACAGACCGATCCTTTCAGTTTCCAAACAGCCTACACATCCTTTGATATGGAGTTGGAGAAACATTGTTATGGTTATGAACACCAAATCCATATGCTTCTTCTCCTTAAACCACCACCAGCTTCTCTCGTATCTTGCCATTTTTGTAAAAATTTCTGTAATTTTTAGAAAAATTGAATTTTGAATATTAGACAGATAGAGGATTTGGTCTCATTTTAAATTGGAGCTTAAATACCTTGCCCCAGTGGAATAAATTTGTTAAGTGGTTATCATTAACACCAAGAAAAGTCTAAAACCAATGAAGATTGACCCATGACTTTAGAAAGCATTACATCATCTTCTGATAACTGATAATTGCAGGGAGGGGTCAACTATGATTGGTCAAATTAGACGGATTTTATTATCGTTTACGTTAGCTTTAGAAAATGATAGCAGTCACTGTTACTACCATCATCATGCAGGTTAAGATGTTTTTCATTGATAACCAAAGATTGTACAAGTGTATTATATGTGATGACACGTTAGGAGATCTTGGAGAATCCAATCCAATAATACAAAGATTCTTCCAATCATTTAACCAAGTATATCTTCGTGGAATAAGATTAAGATGCTTAGAGATGTCAATTTCAGTGAATTGTAAACTTGACTGGGTGCAAAAGTTCCCAATAACAAAGGTGAAAACCGAAACAGGGGAACATACACCGCCACAAGTCTAAAGATGAAACAACAGAGCAAAAAGACAAAGGCATTGACCAAAAAAAAAAAGAAACAATTGTTCCAATAGT